AAATCTGTATGCTTCCTCAGTAACCTGTCAGTTTGATTTCAGCAGTTCAAGTACAATTTTTACCTCAGGTAAATGTCTTAGACTCAAAAATTGAAAGTATGGAATTCTGAAATATTTTCAGAGATCTCATTCCAAAGTAAATTGCTCATCTTGCAGATTGTGAGGACTTTGGGTTTCTCTGTGTTTCTGCCTTGAAAGCTAGGAAATTCATCCCCTACTATTCAAGTTTTATAAGACCAGAAAGGACATAAGTAGTTTCTATATTCTCACAGTCTTGGAGAAAAAGTCCTCTTCCATTTTTTCAGTTTGCATTTGGAGGTACTGACTGCCCTAGACTATTTCTTGCTTCCACAGGTGTACTGTTTCATTTATTTTAAGCCTGTAAACCGTACTCAACTTTTATTAACTCACAAAACCATTAAAAATGAAGCCTTTCCAAAATGGCTGAAGATAACATCCATATATGGAGAACTGGAGAACAACTAAGCCACTCTCCTCCCTAGGTAAGGCAGAAAGGTGAAGGAGAAAGCCGAAGCTACTTTAAGTTGCTAATTGTTTTCTGAAAATCACTGATTAGGCCTTAAATTTAACCAGTTAGTAATGCCTTCTCTGTTCAGAGTCAGGAAAGGAAACTTTATGCTTTCTAGGCCCCCAAAAAAATGCTCTTAGGCGCGATCATTTTAAAACAAACAAACACACTCTGCTTATCTGTGTCCATCTCACCACTCTGGACGTTAATCATCACTGAAATAGATACCCCAATCCCCCAGCCTCAAAGAGCTCCAAGCTTATAAGACCCTGTCTGAGGAATGAATGTACATGCCAGGGCAAACACCTCAGAGCCTTACACCCTAAACACCTATTGTTAGTTTTAGGCAAATCTATCACAGGCAAATGCAAGAGAGCACCCAGGTATTGCTCGAAGGATATTTAAAATAAAATTCAAGTTTGAGAACATGTAGGACTTAATTTGGAAGGTAAAAAATTAAGTAAGCTTTTTTTACATAAGACTGGAAGAAGTATTTTTTAAAAACAGATTTACATACATGAATATACTTTTTTCTTTTCATTCTGTGCACTTGTTAATTTTCAGTATCAGAATTTGCAGATAGCGCCTTTGCTCTTCCACCTGTCATATTGTCTAACTATCTGCATATTGTCTAACTATCTGTCATATTGTCTAACTATTAGCCTATGTTATAAACTGACGGAGTTAAATTTCACTATTTTGTTCTCGAAGACTGAACTAGGTTAGTTTTCCCCCTACTCTTTAGGGAAAACTTAAAAAGATGCCATATGAAACATTTTCTTAATTTTTATATTAAAGATATTTCTATTCCCCAGGCTTCATAAAACTTTCAAGCAAAACCGATTTTAAACCAGATGACTGACTCAAACTGTCTTTGTGTCCACTTTAAAAAAAAAAAAAAAACCTCATGATACCTACCAGTGTTCACTGTTTGGGCAAGAGTCCTAAAGGGAAGCAAATTATTTGTTTGTGGTTTTAAAGTGACCAAAATGCCTTCAAGCAAAAGTATAAGACCATTAAGAAATCACAAGGAACCAAAGCAGTTCATCTTACTCAACAAAGCTATGATCAGTTAGGAACAGCCAAACTGAATGGGACTTGCCCTGGGCCGGAAGGTCAGTAAACCTTAGCAGTTTGTGTTTCTGAGAATCAAGAGGCTCTTAGGCAGGCAGTGCAGACCCTAAGCCTACAGGTTCTGCTGTCATGTTTCCAAAAACAATCAGGACAGGTGAGAAAAACTAAGCAGTGTATGTGTTTTCTCCTACCTCTTGTCATTAGGCACCATATCCAAGTCAAACCATCTCCACTATTGTTATATACAGACTGACTAGAAGAGAAGCCAAACAATTAAAAAGTTTCATTTTACAACAATTTATTGAGTGCCTACTATGTGTTGAACACTGTGCTAGCACTTACACGTTACCACATTTAAGCCTCATTTTACTAGGTATGTTATTCTCATTCTTTACAGATGATAAAACTGGTGCAGTGAGGTTGTGTGGCTTTTGATAAAATGAAGTTTTGTGTCATACTTACAAAAACTTATCCCACTGTCCAGTCCGCAGTTAATTAACCCAAAGCATGAACTACAACCCTGCCACTATCCAAGTTGCCATACTCACTGAACTTTGGGCCCTGGTGCCCTGATGCCCTAAGAGGACTAGGGTACATGCTGTCTCCCTCTACGGATGACAACCACCTCTCTTGGTGGCTTATCACGTCTCTGCAGCTGTCCAGAAACAGACCACTCTGGTAAACACTCTCTCCACCTGCTCTAACACGCATAACTTCTCCCCTTAACTCAGAAAACATGAGTAGTGACTCTGCTCTTTATCAAGTGCTATGATAAAACAACTTTGCTAAGGTTGGAGATACCTCATCCTAGAACACAGGCAAGAAATCAAAACACACATGGCTAATAAATAAAGTCATATCACTTTGCGTCTCTAAGCATTTTATACTATAAACTCATTTTTATTTCATTGTTATTTTTGCTTATAGAACACACACTCATTCTTGTTATTTCTCTTTTAGAGCACTCGAAAAGGAAAAAAAAATAAACATTGATTCTTTCATTCGTTCATTTAATTTCTTTAAGAAGAGAAAGCCAAACTTGACCTTAGCTGGCTTGCGTTTGCGTAATTTTAGCCACTTTCTCTTATAGGTCAACTGATTTGTTCTCTGAAACAGAGTTTTTCTTATAATAAGTGAAGGTAACAAGACTATCTGCCCCCAAAATCCAAAAGAATCATTATCATAGACGATAAAATCACACCAGAAATTAATAAAAGTTCAACAAAATGATCAGGTTCAACATTTACAAACAATTATTGTAATCTTGTACATCGTTAATAATACTCAGCTGGAAAAAATACTGAAAAAGATTACATTAATAATAAAAACATAAGGCATAACATATTTAGGAATACTTAAGAATAAGTATAACAACAGATATGGGGGAACTTTATAGTGAAAACCACAGAATCTTTGAAAAGGCACAGAATTTTTTTTTTTTGCTTAGAGGCTTGAGCAGAAGTACAGATATCACACACATACAAGGATATCTAACCCTAACCAATTATACAGACTATAAAAAGCAACAATATTTAAAATAGTATGGAAATGTAAAAATATATCAGTGGAACAAAATGGAGAGTTCAGCTATAAATGCTATATATATACATATATGTGCACATATATGTATATATGCACACATATGTAAACAATATTTGGCAAAGTAAGTTTTCTAAAACAAAAGGAAAGAACTGTTTAACAAAAGGTATAGTGATAACTGGGTAGCAGTTTAGGAAAAGTTAAGTTGAATTCACGCCTTACATGAACAAACAAAAATGATACTGATGAAATTCTTATTTTTAAAAATTAAATTATAAGAAAACCACCAGATATTCAAGGAGATTTATGGAGGTCTATGGAGAAACTAGAAATTTCTGATTGAGAAGGAAATAAATCACAAAAGACTTAGATTCTGATATATCTAAGTGTAAAACTTCTAGAGGCTAAAAAAAGTAAAAAAAACTGAGGAAAATACTTGCATCAAAGATGACAAACTAGAGCAAATATTTATGACCCACAAGCATTCCAAATTTTAAGAAAAACATCAAGACCCCAATAATAAATGGGCAAAGACTAGGAACAGACAATCTCACAGGTGAAACAAACACATGGGAAAATATTTATCGTGGTCAATGGTAAAAGAAATGCAAATAACAAAACTTTTAGATATCATCATATGCTCACTAAAATAGCACAGATTTTTAAAATTCTCACATGAAATTGTCATTCATTGCTGGTGCCACTGTAACTTGGTACAATACCTTTATAAACCATAACCTTTTATCCAGTAATGCCAATCTTGAGAATTCGTCCTAACTAATTCAAAAAGACATATGTATTATATGGTATGTGACTTATATCTCAATCTGTCACCAAAATGCATTAATTATTCATTTTATTATCTGTAATAGCAAAAGCTGGACATAACATAAACGCTTAATATTAGAGGAATGTTTTTACCCTCGTTATGGTACAGCCCACAAACATTTATTATGTACCTTTCCTGTTAGGATCAGTGAGACAGCAACTAAGGAGGAAGAAGTGTGCAACTGAAAAGTAATTTTTAAAAAATGAACAGTTGTCTAGAAGTGGTGACATTATAGCTTTTTGTGTTCTAAAATGACTTTCTTTAATGTTGTTATACTGTATTAGAACTACCTTTTTTTTTTAACCCAAGCTGGATGGAGTTGGGTGCAATCTGAAAGATTTTACTCCCCTGATTCCATAATTTTTCCCCTTCTTTTTAACAGTTTTAAGTGGTCCAGTAAAGCTTTTCATGCACAGGTCTCAGATCCTACCAATAACTGGCCAAATTGCAATACACAATGCCTTTGTATATAGCCTAGACCTAATTCAGGCCCCTGCCATTAAGCAGGCACCTTTTTTTGTGTGTCGTTCTACCTCTATACAGTCATAAGCTATAGTTGACACTTAGACCAAGGGCCTGAAGCCTTACAACCTTTAGAAGGGGGTGAAAAGGTCAATGTCCCCAAAACATTCTGATAGACCACACAGTGGACATGGGTCCTAGAGCTAGACCAGAGGAGGCCTTCAAAGCCACAGCCCAGCTGGGCTCATCTGGGGCTGAAAAATTCAGGGAGTCAAGGTCTGCGAAAAGACACAATTAAATGCTGAAGGGAGTGCTTAAGGGATGGCTAATTGTGAAGAGCCGCCAACGGAGAGGGTGCAGGCTGAGGGATGCTCTTGGGAGGCTTCCTGGAATGGGGGCCTCCGAGAGGAGAAGGGTACTAAGGGAGGGGTCTCGGCGGAGGCCGGGTTTGGGCCTCGGAATTCGGGGTGCGACACGGCCCGAGGCTGACCAGGCCGCGGCGCCCCGCCCTTTCCCGAGATGCGGGCAGGCCCGGGGCGGGGAGCGGGCGGGCTAGCGGGCGCTTACAGGTCGGTGCCGAGCCGCGTGAAGCCGGAGTTGAGCGAGGCCCGGGCTATCCGGCGCCAGAGCAGGTCGCAGCTGGTGAAGCGCCGCAGCCAGCGGCACACCTGAGCCAGGCGGCCAAGGGCCCGCATGTCCAGGTAGGAACAGATGAGCAGCAGCAGCTCCTCCGGCAGGCGCCAGAGCGCGGGACCGGCAGCGCGGCGGTCGGCAGGCTCCGCAGCCGCCGCCTCCTCCTCGGCTTCCGCCGCCATGGCTGCCCCTGCCGCTGCGATGCGGCCCCAAGCCTGACGCCCTCGTCCCTGTGCTCTCCCTGGCCTTGCGTTCTCCCGCCGCCCAGTCCTGACCCTCCATTCCTCCTTCCTATAGTCTCTTCCTTTGGCCTCCTTCCCCGCCTCTGCTCCCCCTTCATCTCCCCTTACGATCCTTCTAGCCCCTTCCTCCACGCTTCCGCCTCCCTCTCCTTCCTCCCGCGCCTCGGCTCCCAGCCCCGCTGCCTCCTTCGCCTTTCGCGGCTCCGGCTTCCCCTCCGCCCCGCTTCCTCTTCCGCCTTGCCCCGCTCCTGCTTTTCCCTTCCCCTTCCCCTTCCTTCGCTTCCCCCTCGCGACCCTCCCCTCCTGCAGTTTCCTCGCCTCCCCGCTATCGCCCTCGCCGGGTCCGTCCTTCCCGGGGGGCCCCAAGCGGCCCTGGCTACCCATGAGCGGCCGCGGGGCCGGCCCGACGCAGAGCCGAGCCCGAGATGCCGCCGCCGCCGCCGCCGCCGCAGCCGCCTCGGGAGGAGGCTACACCATGTCGGACCGGGTCACATGGGGCGGCGCGGGCCGAGGCCTGGGCCCGCCCCTCACACCCGCGGCCACGGAGCAACTTCGGGGTGCGGGCCGGGAGAGCGGACCTCCCTCCCCAATCCCCTGGGCCGCCCGGAACGTTTGGTGCAAGCGCATGCATTCATTCATCTAGCATGTGAGGCCCGCTAAGAGCCCGGCGGAAGGCCGCAAGGAGAGCTTCCGCTTTCAAGAAGCTGCTAGGTGGAGCCCCTGCCCTCAAGAAGCACCCACTTGGGTGGCCTTCCCTCCCTAGGAGCCCTCCCCTTCCTCTGGAGATGCCTCCTTTCCACAGGCCACATACCAGGGTCCCACGAACTGCAGCCCTAGAAGCTGACAGATTCCTTAGCCTGATTTCTCACACAGAGTGTGAACCACGGCCCTGGCAGTGAGCTGGTATTTTAGACATTTAGGGAGGTTTGCAGTCCTCTACGTCCTGAATCCATAACTCCCCAGCCATGTATCAGTAAATGGCAAAGCTAGGGCTTCTTATTAGTCACCACTTAAATGCAAGTGAATTCACCAAGGTCACCCAGGAGCCTTTCCCCTTACCACCTATACCTTTCACAAAGGCGCCAATCTGAAGGGAGAGCTAAGAAAAACCTACTGAAGCCTAAAAATGCTGTCCAGCACAGTCCCCTCTAGTCACGCGTGGCTATTGGGCATTTGAAATGTGGCTAGTCTGAATTGAGGTGTGCCGTCTTCAAAATCTGGTGTGAAATACACCAGATTTTGAAGACATACAAGAAAAAGAATGTAAACTATTCATTAATTTTATATTAATTACATGTTGAAGTGATAAGATTTTTGATACAGTGGACTAAATAAAATATATTGTAATGTAACTACAAGAAATTTTTAAGTTATACATGTGACTTGCATTTGTAGCCCGCATAATTTTTCTATTGGACAACACTAGGCTAGGCAGTAAGATTTGGAGCTGAGGAAGATGCCTATCCCTGTCTGTACACTCTACCCCAAATTCTGATAGGAAGGATTTGAGGGTTTTATTTTGTATTTACATCTTAAGATTACATCTTGCTACCATTTTCAGGTAGCAAGAATGAATAAATCACTCTGGAAATTATTCAACACTTTGCATAGCCAAGGAGAGACCTAGGGACGCAACTACATTGCATTATGGTGCTGCAGAAGCATCATGTAACAAGGTCAGACCGGAATCTGGCTTTGCCCTAGAATTACTTTTTGATCTTAGCAAAACAACAACAAAAAAACCCACCTATCTTGGCCTTTTAGTGTTCTCAGTCTGTAGGGGAGATAATGCCCCTGCCTTACTTTCGAGGGATAAATGAGATGATCCCTGTAAAATGCTTTGAACTCTGTTAAGAAAATTCTCAATAATAGTTACAGGTCAAATCCTGTTACAAAAAAATACCCTTACAAAAAAAAAAAAAGCATTGTGTAGAAAAAAATTTCTAAACTCTAGCCAGTGGTTTAGTCGTTAAAAGCAATATTTGATACGACATTTCAGTACACCTAAAGAATTTAGACCATCTCTTTGAGATCATTGTAATTTACTTATACTATTAGAAGGCTATTGAGGTAGGAACTCTACAAAGTGAGGTAATGTCATCATCAACTCAACATTTATTGATTTTGCTACATTTGTGTACTGTTAGTCTAGAAGGAAGACAGAGATGAATACAGCATATGATTCCTACATTTTGTGTTCAGATTTGTGTTAGACACATTTGTAATTTCTTATACTATTTTTTAAACATTTGACTTTTTAACCATGTGTTTTTTAACAGAGTAAAGCTCAGTAGTTAATCTACACTATACCATGTTTTTAGTGGAGGATTTAAAGACACAGAAAAAAATGTAATTAACCCAATATAAATCAAATCAGTATTAAAATCCACAGTCACACAAGTGCAACTTACTCTTTACCCCATGTTGCCTTCATTGATGGAGAAATTAAGCCATCATTTAAAAACATCAAATCATCCTCTTTCACACCCAAACTAGCGATCAAGTGAACTGTTTAAGGTAAAATTTATGATTTAATGATTTCCCAAAAAGGCCAAAGTACTCACTATGCAGAAAGGCAAAGCCAACATGGAAAATTGGCATATATTCTATTATTTGGTGGTGGTATGTGTGCCTAAATTCCTGAGCATTTTTTTTTAAACCTGCAGTTTAGTCTCAGCTCAAAGAAGTAGCTAGAATTTTTCATCAATCCTTTATTCCCCTCAAAAAAAAAAAAAAAAATTCCAGTCTGGGGTTTAAACTAAACGTGAAAAAAACTGTGTCACAAAAAAAGCACTTTTAAAATTCTTTTTGGGGACAGAGGTTTTAAAAAATCAACTGTAGCTGAAAAGATGGGTTTGTAAGTAAGGAAAATGCATATCTTCATGGAGAACCTGAATAGCATTTTACTATCAAAATAAATATAGAAGGAAGATAGAGTGGACTTCAGAACATCTTTAAGAAAAATCATCAACTCTCTTGAGGTTCAAATTCAGGAATCAATCATAATGAAATAATATAGGGGGATAAAATTTACCTTTGTTTTTCTAAACATTTTTCTTAAAATTTTTAATTTGCATATTAATAAGTAAACTAAAAACATTGGACTACTTTAAACTTAGAATGCCAAAAACATGTAGTTCATGATATAATAAAACTTAAGACTCAATATGAATTTCGTACTGGGTATTTAGAAACACTAATATTTATTTTTTAAGAAAATTTTTAAGTACAAAGTTCTTTGTGTATGTCTATGTAAGTGACATGCAGAGTAGTAATTATTGCTGTTATAGTAGTATATAATATATGTTTAGGATTATTAAAAAAAGCTAGATTTGTGTGTTCTGTCCATTCTTATAAACATAGGTGACAATCTCAGACAGCTGTTCCCATATCCAGTACTCCAGTGTCCACATCTCCATTGATTAAAGCCTCAAGGACCCAGCCTTTAACTTTAAAAGCAGGCAGGTTTAACAGAGGAATTATTCTGAGATGAATGAGAAAGAAAGAGATTATTCTGTGACTGATAATTTTCAATGTCGTACATTGGCTCAGATGCTTACCATTAATCCTCTATGATAATAATAGCTTATATTTATTGAGCACTTACTACATATCAGGCACTATTGTAAGAGCTTTCCATGTATTTTCTCACTTATGGCTAACAACAACCACATGAGGAAGATGCTATTCACCTGTTTTTTGCAAAAGATGAAACTGAGGCCTATGGTCACATGGTTCCTAAGTGACAGAGCAGGTATCAAATTCAGTCTAACCCCAGAGCTTATACTCTGAACCATGCCTCTGCCATACACAACAGAAAATGGAATTAAAGCATTGAATTCAGGGTCTTCCAAGATCCCTTACAACTAATAAAGACACAACTAATAATACTATATTTTACCTCTGACTATCATGCAATTCTGGGTATCTAAATAAAAGCTGCTTCTAAGCAATTAACATTGCTCCTCTTCTTGTCTCGATTACTTTTTATAAGTTAACTAGATAGACTATACAGCCTCTCAATGCTTTTCATAATGTTTTTGCAAAACTTTTAATGGAGTTGTAGAAACTAATATATCTTGTAAAAATATTTAACTGAAGTTTAGTAATTTCATTTTGCTTCAGCATCATTTTCTTCCATTAAATTTAAGTAACAATGAAGGTATGGTGTGTATTATATGAGCCTTTTTTGTAAATTTGTCTCTACCTGTGTATATGCAAAGGGAGATTTTATAGAATGATGTTAATAACAGTTATCTCTAGGTATTAGAATTTTTGGATTTTACTTTGTACTTTTTTGTTTTGCATAATTTTTTATAAGACACATGTATCACCTTTACAAATTCAGTAAAGTCTCTCAAAAAAAAAAGATAGAGTTTTCATGTGTCCAAACACACCATGCAACAAGAAACTTGAAGATTTAAAGCTAGATTATTGCCAGATTTTTTTAACTAGGCACCTCAATTTCTTCAAACTCTATTCCATTTAAAGTGTAAAACATTTAGTGATAAAACAAAGAAACAGATTAGAGTATAAGAAAGAAGAAATAAGAAGCCTAACATGAATTCTGTGTCTATAAGCATTTACGTGCCTCCTAATGGAAGAGTAGAATCCAAAGTGTTGTTTTCAGAAATTATCTATTAGGTTGGTAGTTTATATTCTAAAATCATGTTAGAAACATCACCAAGATCTGCTCTGTTTTTCTATGAATCCACTGTCTTTGTTATATTCAAAGATAAAATATTTCTATTTTATATGAAAAAATTTCAAGTATTGTTTAAAAATAGTTACTTTATACAGAAAAGACTAGAAGGAAACATGACAAAATGCTAGAAATGGATGTTCATGAGAGGTGGAATTATGGGTAGTTCTTTTTGCTGTTGCTTTACACTTTTCTGCATTTTCTAAGTTTTCTGCAATGAGAATGTATTACACAGATAATCAGTTTTTTAAAAAAGAAAACTAACCTAAGAGGTATTTATACCTAAACAAAACAATCTAATTCATAATATTTTAAAAGTTTATTTTACAAATCTCCCATGCAGAAGTATTCCAAGTAATTTATGTTATACTTCACCTTCAAGAAAGTAGAACAGAACTCCTCGCCCCACACCCCCACCACACACACACACTCCTAAGAGGGCTGCATGTAGTGACTTCCTTCCAAAGAGTACAACCTGGAAAGAGGGGGGAAAAGAATAACTTTACAGTGGAGAAGGCTGACGAACACTATGTCAGCCGGGAGATCAGGTTCAACAGTTATAATGATAAGTCGTGTTGATAGTAGGTACCCTTCCTATAATGTTATGAAAATGGTACTTTACTTCTGTGGTCTTCTTCCTCAAAACTCATAATCCCAGTCTAATAATGAGAAAAACATTACACAAATCCCAGATGAGGGACATTCTACAAAATTATCTGATCGGTATTCCTCAAAAATGTCAAAATCAAAGAAAGTCTGAGAAATCATCTGAGCCAAGAGGAACCAAAGGAGATATGACAATTTAATGTAATGTAATTTTCCTAAAACAGAAAAGAGAAAGAACATTAGGTAAAAACTAAGGAAATCTGATCGGTCCATTAATCGTTACAGATGAACAATACTAATGTAAGATGTTGGTAATAAGAATATGCAGGAACTCTATACTAGCTTCA